TTCTGTTTTGAGTAAAAGAATCATGATTTGTAAACATGTTGCATGAAAAGCTGTTGTGCAGTAAAATAGCCACAACAGTTCGACACAGAACCAAATAAAACCCTGAGTCTGCAAAAAAACACAGAACCACTCAGGAGCACATTAGCTGAATAACTCATTCTGCTGCATCGTTCATGATGTCTGGCTTCAATTAATTAGGAAATCAAGTTGTTATGTAACAGGGCTTTAAAAATCAGACCACACAGAAGAGGCAGTGGGCCTCTGCGGAGCCTCTGTGGGAAAAAAAACAGTTCTCTGCTCTGGTTTCCAGAGTTAATCCAGATCCTCACCTCCATCATGTGATTGTAGGAAACCTGACCGACTTCATGCAGAGAAAGAAAGTTTAGGAAGCCCGCTACTTTCTCTGTGGCAACGAGAATAGAAAAATACATTTATTACCATGATTAAGAAAGTAAAGAGATGAGGAAGTGAAGATAGCATGGCTACCTGCCAGTGTGGTCAGTGGAGCTAACACATTTAACAGCTGAAGCAGCATTTGGCTCTGGACTGAGTCGACAGGTCAAAGAGTTATGAACTGAATTGCATGGCTGCACGTCTGGCCCTGGGAATAAATGTGATCAAAGTCTGTGTTTTTTTGCACAATGCATTATGACCCTAATGGATAACGTTACAATAAACACACACTAATACACGGAACAAGCTCACAGGCTTCCAATAATCCCTGTGTGCTTTACTTACAGTGGTGAAAATAAACTTAGTGTGGCGCCTATACACACAGACTGTCAAGGAAAAAGTTTGTATAGTGGGTTTATAGACAAAAAGAACGGTGCACCAAAACCAGACTGTGTTCATAAGATGAATAATGAACTTCATTCAAAGCAGAGTAAATATCATCTATTTCATCAGTGTGGCTCTGATGTAAACACAAACAGGGTTTTCAAAGCTACCAAGACATTTAAAGATCTCCCACTTAATGAAAATAACTACAGACATGCCAACATTCTGTGCAGTATCGCAGTTGTCTGAACAATTCGTTGAAATCTTGTAGAAATTGCAATATGGACAAATGAAACATCTAAATCCTAATAGCTGAATATTTTTATAAAGTTAATGTGTTTGAAAAGTCACATACTATACAATTAGTTATTCCAGGCAACACGCTTGTTTGATCATCATCATCTTTTTTTAGATTTCTTTACAGTGAATATGAAATTTAAAAGCTTGTGACTCAAATCTCAACCACAATATCAGTAAAAATGTTCGTTTGGTTTTTGTTTCAGCCTTAGGTTGGCAGTTACATTGGAAATACAATCTGATATCAACACGGCCTATTCAGCAAAATTAGCAGATTCAGTCTTTAGTTCATGATCGATACCACTCTCCTGTCTGTGAGGTGGACGTTTTGAGTTGTTAGTGAAATATCTTAAACTTTCTTTAACTTGCTTAAACTTATAACTTGTGCTATTAAACTGCAGTATGCTAACGTGCTGAACAATGAACATTAAATCTCTTAAACATCAGCATGTTGTCATTGAGCACACATTTAGCTTTAAGTATAGCCTCATAGAAGTGCTAGTCTAACGATTTGACACAGACTACTGTCACACTGTTGGTTGCTTCATTGTTGAGCAAATTGCTTATCTTGTTAAACAAAATAACAAGATGAATTGCATCTAGATGTTCATGTGATAAATCCACCATGAATTTGCCCCCTGGATCAAACCGACTTAACTGACCTAAGGATGTGTTACATATATAATGGAATAATCTAAAACCTTTGAGTTGAAGAATTGAAGTCCCAATTGGCCAACAGCAGCAGCTCCTGTAATTCAAATAAGATAAACCAGTTAGCTGGATGTGTTCCAATTCAAATGAACACCATGTTCATTCTCTAATGAGGGGAACCAGTTAGAACCATGGCTGATTTAAAAAAAACATAACATTTGCTATATGAGATGCCTTTAATGGCTTTTAGCTTAAGTTAATCTCAATGTCTCACTGATGCAATATGCACAGCCTCCCCAGCTCTGAAGGGTCGTCTCTATCTGTGCTGTCAATGTGACCCTAATTCAACATTTTGTGCAGAACCTGCCAAGAGATAGCAACCTGTGCAGACCAATAAAACATCATCTTTTATAGAAACATAGTTTCTTAAATAAATTAGATGGTGTGAGGCCAACCACCAACCACAGCCTGACCTTTAGCTGTAATGTCTAAAGGTCAGGCTGGTTTTTAGGAGACGGGTACAAAACTAATGTATTAACAAGAGACATGTCCATAAAGCTAAAGCGTGCTGACTTGTGAATGATTGACCATCTGGTGTCTACAAATTCAATTGCACACACAGGAAAAACTTCCAGATCAATGTTTCACCTTTGTAACCTTCTGTGTTAATCTTTGGTTAACCCTGGTGACAAAGGATGCAGACCGTGCTTCTTGCTCTGTACGCTGCCAACAACTGTTCTCATGTCTTTGACAGTATAATATCAGGATCTATCGTTCATCAAGTTACACAATTGCAAAATATGAGTTTGCTACTCATTATGATATTTTAGGAAGGAAAGGTGGAAATTAATCATCTTGCCATAAAAGCAAACATAGTGCCATATTTTTTATTTCTTGTTTGTGGAGTAAATTGAATTCTGTTACATTCAAGGAGACGTTTGTGGCCAAAGTGAACATACTATGTTTTGTATACTTCGACCAAGAGCCAACATTTCCCATTAATTCCATCAAGCTGCAGCATACTGCACACACTCAGGTAATATGCCTGACTATTTTCATTCACATCCATGAATTATTCTCAGCAAATTCATTGAAAACATAAAAAAAACCCACCCGACCTTGCAATGTTAAAAAAAAGGGATGAAAAATTCCAGGATCCGCCCTGTTGACCAGTCAATTCTTCCTTGGTCCATGTCCCTTCCTTCTCCTCTTTGCCTAATCCTGCTAGCAATACAGATAAGCAAACAGACAAACAATATAAACACAAAGTCCTTGGTGGAGTAACACACTGCTTCCTCAGGACACAGCTGAAAGTTTAGACTTGTTTTTTCTCAAATATGTTATATTTACTTTTTAGCTCTCCACTTGTAAGCAGCGCCCCACACTGCAGGCCACAGCGGGTGTGCATCCACAACACGCTCATTATCAAGATTTAGTCTTTTTCCAGTGTACTTTATATCATGACCCTAAGAATCATGTAGTATAAATCTGGAACACAGCCAGGGGCAGCATCAACGTGAAAGCCGGGACAAAAAGTCACAATTCTACCACCCCCAACACCAGAGAAAACTATTCCCTTGGACCTTCAGTTGATATATGGACAGTAATCTTCTTGAAAGCATCTTGAAAAGGAAATATCTCAGTGTTTCTCAAGGACAAGTGGAGCAAACATGAGACATTGCTGATTTCCTTTAATTAAGTTTTAACCAGACATCAGTGGGAGATTTTACGGAGTGGTGGAGTTTATAAAACCCTGGGGAAAGAGCCAAAGTGGAAAGTGTGTTTACTGTTCAGATGAGTTAACTATGTGGTTTTAAAAGTCTGGGGCTTGGATTCATTTGTTGTTTGCTTGGTTTCTTTTTAATTAAGTGCAGGATTTAATATTTCCAGAATCTATAATCAGCTACATGAAATATAACAACTGCACAAAACGGCATGTAATGTCTTGTGGATCTAACTTGTTTTTTCTTTTTCCTTTCTAGGAATTTATTCCCATCAAACCTGGTGGCTGCTGCTTTCCGCTCCGTGAGTGCCAGCACCTCACTTCATCACACCTCACTTTTTTCATCAGTGCCTCTTTTTTATTGCTACTTTCTGTCTTGTCTTCCCTGACCACCCGTGTCCTATGTGGGTTGTTCATCAGAATTTATTTCACCAGCCATGCAGATGCCACTCCGTGTTCATTTACTGCACGGTAGCGCTGAGAGCCTCTTAATGAGGCGTCGTTCAGAATATAGACACCGGCTGCTCTCCGTTGCTCGCACAAATGCCTCTTTTCCTTGTCCTTTACCAGCCGTTACCATGGCAAAACCATTCCATTCCAGTCAGCCTAGCAACCCACCTCGCCTCGCTGCTTTTGAACATGGCCCGCTCCACTTCCTAGAATTATGATCCTGTTTGTAAAGGCTAAAAAAAAGAACCAGGAAAGTTCAATATTTGGGGATCCGGGGGATACAAGATGGCCATGCACAAAGAGAGCACACACACACACACACACACACACACACACACACACACACACACAAACACACACACACTCAAATTTTTAAACAAATAGCCTGAAACGTGCCTAAAGCCATGATCAGCAAATAATAAAGCTGCAAGCAAGGTGGTGACTTCAAACAGGCAGAATAAGCTGTGTTTCAAAGTGCAGTCAGGTCAAAGAGTTCAATAATCCTCCCACCCACCCAGCCTATACCGTGTTAGAGCCCCTGTGGAAGGGTTCCAAGTGTGGATTAAACCAAGACACCAGAGGAGAGGGGAGATTTATACAAAATGACAAGCGCTAACATGTTTAAACAGACATTTAAACATGAAGTGTAAGATTTAAATTATGGGGAAGGGTGTCCTCTCAGGTTTTTGACTCGCATACTGCATGTGTCTGCATATCCACCAATGTTTCAGTATCAAGAAACTACTGCTTCATTAAGTCTGTATAGCTCCGTTTAGATATTTGGAACCTTTATCCTATAAGGCTGTGTAAAGAAAATCAGAGCAGGAGACACAGAATCGTGGTGTGTGTGCATGATGCTGTGTGTGTGTGCATGAAAACCTCCAACCTCCCTCTTAGGTAAATCTGAAAAAACTAAACAACTATGCATCTGTGAGATCATAATTGTATATTTTACAAAATGTTAGTTATCAGAAAAAACTTTTAACTCTTAGTGTTGCTCTGCACAAATGGTTCAAATAAAAAGAGTGCTTTGATTTATGAGGGTTGGGCAACTTTATTCATAAAGTCAGGTGAGAAGATGGATACCACTGTCAACTCTAAAGTTCAGCAAACAAGATAATTATCGGTTGCGTCAACAATCATATACTTAAATCTTGTCATTGAATCACTAACTACTGTTGAGAGTTGAGGAGTTCTTGGATAGGTAGCAGTTAGTGATCAGTGTTTCCTGCCCATAGCTAGCATGCTCTCATGAGTCCCTTTACCACTGGTCAAAAAAACCCACTAACACCCACTAATGTGTGGCTCTCGTCTGCAATGGCAATGGATTCAATTAGCATTCACTCGGGGGTCAAATGACTGCAGTAGGTAGACGCAGGTTTTTATTGACTCCAGCTCAGAATATGCACATTTTGCCAGAAAGCAGGGTGAGAGAGTGCCTCAGTTTTGGATGTGGTGGCACCAGGGTGAAAAAAGTGAGAGGTTAACTTCTCTACTGGCATTGGGAAAGGAGTTGATCACCTTTTATTTTTGGGATTCCCCTTTTTAAAAAAAAACGATGTATATTGAGAGGTAATGGACTCTCGAAATTCAGACATTGACTTATCTAGCTTTGAAGAAACAAAACAGATACATAGAATATTAAAAAAAAAAAGATTATATAAAGTATACGAGTATCACAACTATGTAAACACATTCATTTCATTCCATGTTTTACATCAACAGGCAGTTGACAAGAACATTTGTGGCCTCTGTTTCAAAATGGAGATGCATCAGGATACAGCACCGACATTAGCAATAATGTTGACACTATAGCTACACATTTTAGCACAAGTATGAACCAAACAAAAATATATGAACAATCAGCATCAACCTGTCTTTTGTTTCATGTTTCAGTATGCCACCGACTACAAGATGGTTGCTGTGGGGAACGACACCAATGGGACCACCCTCTATCAAAAGGTACAAACTGTCTAAAACATGTACATAACACTCAAGGACATGCACATTCACATGCACATATTATATGTTGTGTGAAATTTAAACATTGCAAGGAAACAAGGAAAAGTTCTCCCACCTGGAACAAGACAAAACAGTTACTTCTGCTAAATTAAAAAGTGGTGGATAAAGTTGGTTCCCAACTAGAACCAATTCCAGCAGTTTTTCTGAGGTGTGAACTGTGACGACATCAGTGGGTTTGTCACGTTCCACAGGATTAAAAGAGACAACATAATAGACTTCTTCTTATCATTAAAAGTTGGTCAATACTTGCTTTTCGATTTTAAAAAGTATCTGTGTGAACAAAATAAAATCTCCCAGGTTGTCATTAAAACGGTTCGATTGACACTGGTGGAAATGTGAGCTGGTTCACTAGATAGCAAGTTAACAAGAATCCTGAAGGTAACCAGTTACAGAACTGGAGCTTACTTGTTTGTGAGACTGTCAAATGATTTGTTTTTAGGAGAATGTTCCAAGGTTGATGGAGAAATGCTGACGTGTTTGGAAGTGTCTTTATGAACTGATTAAATAGGTTTGGTTTGTCATTAGAAATACAGCTGGTGTGTCAAACTTCAAACTAAATGGTCACTGTGCATTTAATGATTAAAAAAATGTCACTATTATAGTTTTGAAATTTTCATTAGTTTTTATTTTGATTTAGTTTTTCAGTTGGCTTTTTTTATTTCAGTTTAGTTTTAGTTAGTTCAACAAGTGATTTTGTAGTTTTAGTTTAGTTTTTATTTTGAGGAATCGACTAGTTTCAGTTTAGTTTCTTATTTAGTTCTAGTCTCAGTTTTAGTTTTTCCAGGTATTAAGAGAAAGCCTTGACTTGTTGAAGCTGAAAAAGGATGAAACAATGTGTGACGCCAAATATGGTTTATCAAGTCCTTTAATTTCATTCTTTAACCATCACCTGCAGGACAGGCAGTAATCGAGGGAGAAAACGAAGTGACAACGAAAATGAAGCTGAATTTATCTGCAATTCACTTTAGTTTTAGTTAGTGTTGCATTGTTCATTGTAGTTTTTATTTAGTTTTTTGT